TTTTTACTTACAGACTGAAGCTGCAAAGGAGTTTGAGGAAAGACACAAGCAGGATGTTGAGAAAGTGAAGGAAATGGACCTGGAGGAGTGAGTATGAGGCCTCGGGAAAGCCTCTTGAATATATTACCGTATTTTTCGCACTATAAGGCGCACCGGATTATAAGGCGCACCTTCAATGAATGGCCTATTTTAGAACTGTTTTCATATATAGAGCGCACCGGATTATAAGGCGCATAGAATAGAAGATACTGCAGTCAAACGTTTGACTGGGGTTGCGTTATGCATCCACTAGATGGAGCTGTGCTAAAGGGAATGTCAACAAAACAGTCAGATAAAGTCAAACTTTATTAAGCGTTCTGACAACTCCGTTCACTCCCATGGTAACGATGTTCAAATGTTAATGTGCATATTCACAATATCTCCCAGCCTTGTTCAGTTGTAAACACGTAAAAGAAACACAGTCTGATACCGCTAATTCAAACGTTAGTGCATAACTCAACATTGTTCAGTTACGTATAACACGTAAAGCTCACTTTTTCAGTTCATTCCCCGTCCACGAATCCCTCGAATTCTTCTTCTTCAGTGTCCGAATTGAACAGTTGGGCGAGTACGGCATCCAACATGCCCGGCTCCCTCTCGTCATTATCCGAGTCAGTGTCGCTGAGCGCCGTGTACAACCAGTATGGATCAACCAATTAACCAATTGATCCATATATAAGGCGCTCCGGATTATAAGGCGCACTGTCGTTTTTTTTTAGAAAATTAAAGGCTTTTAAGTGCGCCTTATAGTGCGGAAAATACGGTATTTACATGGATCTAAATGTACATGGGAGTTTTTACTGTATTAGCAATGATTTGATTTGTGTGTGTGTACAGGTACAAGATCCGTGGGGACGATGAGGAATGGGACCAGGTGTTGAAGAAAGCAGGAGGCACGGCTATCGTCAGCATCAAGAGGTGCAGTGACAGCCAGGATCTTTTCAGTTGTGTGTAGTGTGTGTGTGGTTGTTTGGTCAATGCAGAGTATTATAACAGAGTGTTTTATCGCACACAGTGATAAGAAGAGGAAGTATGAAGGGGGAAATGCCAACCCAAGCAATGGGACTCCCCAACAGGGGAAACTAAAAAAGAAGGAAATGCAACATGGGAAGTTCAAGAAGAACAAGGACCAACATGGAAAGTTTGGAAAGAAAGTGCGACAGTAACCGTGCTGCTTGTACTGGACAGCGTGTGTGTGCACGAAGAAGCATCCACATGATCCCTTTGGATATCTTAGATGGACTTGCTAAAGATCACCCAAAAGACTGGCTTAAGATGTTTATTCTCATAGCTGTTTTTTAATTATACCAAGGTTTCTATTACGTTTGTTGGTTTGATTTATGACATCATTTAACAGCAGAAAATAACACACTTATTGTACTATAGTGGTATCTTTTACTTTCAAGTATTACATACATTTTAGACTTCCCTTTTTAGTTGATGTAACAATTTCTACAAAGACTTGTAAAAAAGTTAATGGAAATATTTTTGTAAACTATTATTTGAGGTAAATATCTGGCTTTAGGTGTCACTGGACGGGTTCACTGTTCACTTGAACACCTGAGGCTTTAGATCAATCCACTTCTGTCTGAGCTGCTGTTTCACGTCGTCCGGTGCAAAGATACAGTCAATGGCCTGCTGGGACAGTGTCCATACAGCTTCACGACTGAGACCGAACGTGGAGGCTGCCAGCTGATATTCCTGAGACAAGTCTGTAGAGAAGACTCCTTTATCGTCAGTCTGTAATGTGACAGAATAAAAATCATTCATGGGAACTCTGCTGTAATTATACCTGTCATAGAATCAAGTTATATTCAGTAACACAATGGGAGATACTACTACTTCATACAAAAAGTCAGGTCATTTCATCCTCTGCCGCATAAATATTGATAATTAAAAAAAAACTTTCAAGCCAAACTAATAAAACTGCAACATTAAAACAGCTGTAGCTCCCCTTTTAAAAAGCCAATACACAAAAAATAAAGACTTAATGTTTACTTTCAGAACTTTACACTTTCATGTTTTGCACAAGTTGTGTACCAAGAAATCTCCGCTAACTTGCATAGTCTGGTTATTTCTCGGCACATGTTTTGTGGCTATTTGAAAAGTTTGGTTGAATGAAAAGGTGTCAGTCGATGCTGTTTTATATTGATCGAAGAAAGGCAGCCATAAAGTTAAACTTTGCTACCAGTCCTGAAGCTGGCGTTAGTTGTCATATTGGTGTATACTGTCTGAACATTTTAAAGATACAAAAAGTGCAAATACTTACACAAATGACACTCGGATGTTGTAAAAGGTACCAGTATTTGAAGTGATGTTCAGCGTAGCAGGGTACAGTCTGTCCCTTGATGTTTGAGGTCAGGCATAACTCTACAAGAAAACAAGGTGAGAAATTACAACCCGGACACTGGTCAGTGCACAACACAGAAAACGAAGACTAATGTAATCTCAGTCTTACCCAGAGGTATGTTGTTCTTTAGCACTTTATCAACAAGACGTTGGGATCCACCCACTTGTGGATGCAAGAAGGTGCCGTGACCGATCCTGTCCGGAGGAAGATCCAACAGCAGGTCTGTCTCCTCCAGCTGTGATGCTACCTGCAGCAGATGTGCTGATGTCAGAGCACTCATGGGGAATGTAACTACAGGTAACACTAAATGTGTTGTGGTCTTACTTCTGAGAGGTGCAGTGACAGCTTCAGTCCACAGTTCTTTGCCCTCTGCAGAGCAGGAAGCAGGTCTTTGCCATGGCCAACCTGAATACAAAACGACACTAATGAACATTCATGTTGGATTAAAAAACCAATAACAAAGCTCCCATCATGAGAAACATTTATTTATGACCCAACTGAATGACTATTAACAAGGTTTTGATATCATTTTCTGGTGTTCTGAGGCTTACATTTACAGTAAGTATCTTTCAGTGTTTTTCAATAATTAGTGCAGTTTTCTTTTCTAGAAGCCCCAGACTCTCCGACTGACCCTTGGATCTCCACTGAGGTCGAGTCCCACCACCAAACCATCAGAGTGCAGCATGAACTCCTCGGCCAGCTTCACCGTCTCAACGGCGACCTCAGTCCCATTTCTGCGGTCAATTGCTACCAGAAACCTACAAGACAAAGGGGCACATAAACCTGCACCACTGTTTCTAATTACATTATAACCATAGTAAAGTATTGTGATATTATTTGTATTTTTTTTTTTGGGGGGGGGGGGGGGGTTAACAGTTAATGCTAGATGCCTACCTCACATCGATGTCTAACCCATCATTCTTAGACTGTTGGATGGCTTTTATGACAGTTTCAATGTATCTCTTTTTTGTTAATCCTAGGGAAAAAAGAGAGAAAACGGTCAAGACTATGGTGAGGTAAATCCTTTCTAAGTGTGTATCACGCCATCATTATGCCCCATTGTTTACATAATGCGGCGGCTGTGGCTCAGTTGGTAGAGTCGTCACCTCTCAACCGGAAAGGTCGAGGGTTCAATCCCCAGCTGGGCAACGTGTCCGACGTGTGCTTGGGCAAGACCCTGAATTGCTCCTGCTGCTTCAGTGGTGATGTATGAATGTGATTAGATACTTCTGATGGATGATACTACATAGCGATCACTACCATCAGTGGGTGAGGTGAAATTGGGTGGGTGTGACATGTGGTGTAAAAGCACTTTGAGTAGCCGGAAGACTAGAAAAGCGCTATAGAAGCTCAAGTCCATTTACCAATTTACACTGACATCCTTACCTGTGCTTTTGTCCTCCCTTGGTGTACTTCTCAGCTCTAGATATTTGACACCATCAGCCGCAAACTCCCTGATAACATCTGTAGCCACCTAGAAAGTAAACAAAGTAACGACCTGTCGCTGATAATCTGTGGAAAAATAAATGCATCACTTAGTTTTGAATGAACAACCGACCACTACCATTAGGATGTCCTCCTCGGTGTCCACCAGCTGATGTATGATCTTGAAGACTTGAAAACATCTGCGGACAAAGGTGTGACAAAAGTCAAAAGGTTTTAAAGGATAAATTGCTTGACATTTATCCCAAATTAAATATCTACACGTAGCCTACATCAGCTTGTAATGTTAGACGTCATAAAGGAAGTAAATGGGTGATTTAAAATGGTTTATTCCTGAAGTAAAACTCACTCATCCAGGGTCCTCCGCTGTCCTTTGCCGATGACCGTCATGTCGTGTTCAATGTCGAGATGCGGCTTTCTGCTGATCAGTTTCTCGATGGTTTGACTGCTGACAGAGCCATTGAGGTGAGCGTGAAGCTCCTGGTCACAGGTGAGACGCTTATGTTAGCATGCAGCGAGCAAAAAACGTTGTCTTTGACTCTATTTAAACTCAGGAAAACTCCCTTTTTCATCGACATCGTGACCCGGACATGTTTGGTTAAACTCACCACTTTTGGCAGCTCCCGATAAAAGACATCAGCTTCTTTTTCCATCACAAAGTAAAACCTCAAAAGCTGAGATAACGATTAGCCTTCGAGTCGCCGAGTTGACATCTGTCAGCCACACAAGCCTTTGTTTTCAGGTTTCATTTTCCTGTAGCACTACCGAGTGCAACCTTTATATAGTCCCCCATTCCTTTTTCCCCCTCGTAAAGGTTCCGCTACTTTCACTTTCTGAACATTGTTGCAATTCACTTCTTCTGGAGTAACAAAATAAAAAAGTTTTTACACTTGTTATTGACACGATACAGGCATTGGTTCATGTATTCTAATAAATACATGTATTTGTAAATCATAATGTAAATATCTATAAAATTGTGCAATTAGTATGTAATATGAGCAATTTTGAAGTAGCTTTTTACACACTTAATTGGGATAAAATATTATTACTTTCTTGAGTATTATATTGCAAATGCTTAAACAACTTTTAAATAAAAAGGGATTTATAAAACAGAGACTATAACAAAGCAAAATGTTATTATTTTATTTATTAAAAAATAGAAATAAGGTCAATTTAATAACATTCTCTTTATTTCAATACGTACAAAATCCTGACATTTTGGTCGAATCCAAACATTCCTACAATGAAACATTTATTGATGTTGGATGGCATACATCGTGCATATGCATTGACTACGTACTGGGGTGGCGTGTTTGCATCATCAGTAGTAAACTTGTCTAAACTTGTGCTTCGAGTTTGGCAACAAGAGGAATAAAAAGTAGGCATAAAACATTTCAAATGATAAAACAATCAAAAAAAAAATAGAGCTGCATAATTAAAGATATTTTAACTTAGTCATTTAAAAAAAAAAAATTCAACATTCATGTACAATGGTGTACCTGGAAACACTCAAAAATAATACAGCGGGTATATTCCATATCAAAGTTGTATTCCTGCTAGTGAAGGGTCTCTCCTTTTTCAAACAGATGTAATGGATCAAGTAAAGTCAGTCGAATGCAAAAAGTGTCTACATTTTCATAAAACAAAAGATGGCATCAAAATGACAAAGGATATCACTTACAGGGTATAAAAGGTTAAGGCACTGTGACACTAAGGCAGCACAATGTTTTCAGAAAAGATTCTCAATGTGACAGTTAATTATTCACTCTTGATAACCGTACACAGGAAAACGGGGCAAGTTGGTTCACTGAACTTTGAACAACTTGTGTTGAGGGACGAAGCTCAGAAACATAACTGTCGACAGTTCATGAGCAATATTCAAAAGTTAAGTTTTAGATTTTTGCCAAATAATTTAGCCTAACGTCTTTTGAGTTAACCCCAGGTTATTGTCCGGGTAGCCTAAATGAAGGAGGAAGAAAGTCAGTTTGGTGTCTGTTTCTCACAAATCTCTCAATGTTTTTTTCCCATCCCTTGGTTGATATGTTGAAGCCACTCCTTCAACATCTGAAAGCTTGGCCGACCAGCAGGATCCAGGTTCCAGCACTGTTTCATGATGTTATACACCACTTCAGGACAGCCGTCTGGACAGTCCATTTTGTATCCCTTCTCCACTCGTGGCACAACGTCTTTTAAAGGCTACAGATGGACAGAAAACAACAGATGTTCATAGGTCAGGGGGACAGGACATAAGTTGTTATGGGTTAAGAGTGGAAAGGCGTTACTTTTTGATCCTCGTCTAAAACTAAAGCTCTAAATCTTTATTCATAGTTTATGTAGAAAACAAAAAGTGATACTTACAATTCTCGGGTAAGGCACTCGACCAAAAGAGTAAATCTCCCAAAGCAATATACCGTAGCTCCAAACGTCTGATTTGGTGGAAAATTTCTTTGGGTAAACAGGAAACCATATTTGTTAGATTATTATTATTATATGATATATATACATAATATATATGCATGCTATCAGTGCCTGTAAACTGAACTGCACCTTTTCTCTGAGGGCCTCTGGGGAAGTCCACTTCACAGGAAGCTTTGCTGTATCCTGAGTGGAAGAGGCCTCTTTGGTCAGACCGAAGTCACTGACTTTGGCGATGTTGTCGTCTGACACCAGAACATTGCGGGCAGCTAAGTCTCTGTGGACAAAGTTATTGGCTTCAAGGTACTCCATGGCTTCACAGACGTCTCTGTGAAAGTACAAGGTGAGATGAAAGTTTCAAATCTGGAGGACAAAACATAGTCAACGTCTAATGACACATTGAGGAGTTTCTTGCCTTCACTGTTTTTTCTGCTGCTTATTTCTGCCAAAAGGCTGAAAAACATTGTGCTATTGGAAATTCAGACCCTAATAGTAATTACACAGAAGATAACACGTTTAGGATTTCAAGGGAGCTACAGCAGCCATGCTAGCATAATTTATATATCTTTAAAAAAATACCATAAGCTAACAGCATGCTCAAATTCTGATGTAATTAAATACCAATGTTCCTTTGGTCTAATTCTTACTTATACTTGTTTGTCTGCACTGCTAATTCAGTTGCAAAATTCATTCCACTACACATTTGTATATTTTCTTTCTACCGCAGCCGGAGTCGTTTTTTGACAAATCTCTAACTAAGCACAAAATACAAGCATGTTCCACGGTGCCCTTAGTGGTCGAAAACCTCACAGTCTATTTGTCATACAGTAAATGTTATTGTAGCCAATGTCAATCATACTCACAGTGTAAAATTAAGAAGAGCATCTCCACCAAGTACAGTCCGGCCTCTGGATCGTAGGTAGTCTACCAAACAGCCCTGTCAAACACAAACATGTGACGTCTTTTAAACAGGACTCAGGTTGTGATGATAAACATTCAGGCAGACAGCTGAACACCTACCTTGGCCATGTACTCAGTTACTATAAACAGGCTTCCTTTCTCCTCTACAATCACTCCCAGCAGCTGCACCAGGTTATTGTGCCTGAGTTGCCTGAGGAAAGAGAAGCAGATGGACATATTCATGCAGGTCTACATGTTCATACGATACACTTTATTGTCCGCTGGGGGGAAATCTCTGCACATATACAGTATAGCTGCCTCCACTGTAGAATTAATACATAAAAAGAAGTTGGTAAAAGCTCATCCTCAGAGTAGAGGATGTGAGACAGGTCAAATAATAATCTCTGTGTGTCTCTGTCGTTTAGTTATTTTTTATTTTTTTACAGACACATACACAGTGAAAGAAAGTTGTTTTTCCTTACGTCATGACAGAAGCTTCTGCGATAAAGGCCTGCGCTGTGGCATCGTGTTTTATGCACTTCACAGCTACTTTGGTCCCTCTGTAGTCTCCCACCATTACATCTGGAATGATCAGAACATGAACACTGAGTTATATCAGTGAAAAAACACTTGTGGCACCCTAAGCTGAACAAAATTAGACATATTAGCTGGACATGTTAAGGTTTAGTTATCTTATGTATAACATTAAGCACTGTTGTTCATCCTATATCCTAATACAACCAGAACAAACCCCTTCACCTAAACCAAACAGGACATTAGGGAGTTTATTCCAACTGTAAGAAGTCATTGACCTGCAGGTATTAAATGATGCGAGTGAGTTTGCATCGCAAATATTTTCCTTGATTTTTATCAAATCTTTGTTTACATGTACGTAAACCGCAACATGTTGGGCCTATAATAACAAATACACATAAACAGGTCAACTTGTACAATGCAGTGCAAACTCTTCTTAAGTTGTTAATTAGAGCCTGAAGACACTTGCCTCCAAACTCTCCTTTGCCGATAACCTGCTGCAGTTTGAGTTCTTTTCTGTTCATGGACCAGCCACCTGTTGGACATTTAAAGAGGAAACAACATGTTGAAACAAAACAGGCTCATACATGCTTCTCATAAACACAGAGGCTACAATGATATAGTTGCACTAATAGTAAAATTATTATGTACCCCTGGAAAACTCATCCTGAGCGGCCACCGTCCCCTCCTCCACCTTTGGCTTTATTAGTTTGGTGCACAGGCCATCTGCATCTTTGGTGTAGTGCTACAACGAAAGCAAAAGCAAGAAATAGGTAGGATTGAAATAAAGTGATACAAGATTACCCCATTCTCAAGAGTAAGTTTGAAGCACCTTATAGAAGAAAACGTTTTTCACTAGAGGAGGTAACACAGAAGAAGCAACTTCAGTTCTTCAATATCTAAATAGTATCTCAGAGACAAGCTGCTTTATAAAATACTCATTGAATAGTTCCCACCTTTTTTTGGTGCTGATGCAAATATAAGAAAAATACAAGTATACAAGATGTAAGATAACAATCTATTGGTAACATGATAAGAAATGCAAACAATAGCATCACAGTTAAGTAAAAAACAACCTCAGCACAAGCAGTGCTTAAACCGACCAATAGAGGGCTGTGTTATCTAATAAACAAAAAGGTTAAACAGACGACTGAGAAGGTTTTGCCTTGAAGACTTCTCACTGAACTTTCACATACCGTTCTTTTTTACCCTGTAGAGTTTAAAGTATTCTGCTGTTCAAAATAAGCAACCCAAAGAGTCAGATTAAGAGTAAAATGTCCGGTGTCACTTAGAGGTAAGGTGTCTAAACGTCAGCACACTGTAACTCTTCCTCTTTGACACTTCCTGTTCAGTATTTGTTCCAGGAACTGTATGCGGTCTGTGTGGTAGGAGAGTGTCGCACTGACTCTAGAACAGGAAAGTAAAACTTCACATACAGTAGAGTAGACCAAAGCTCTATTTTCATCCAGAGAAAACTTATTTATAAATCAAAACCTAATTTTATGATTTACCTCGACCAGCTGCATGAGGTTTTCAAAGAAGGCCTCGTCATCGATAGTTAGCTTGCTGTTGTTGTAGATGATGCGGTAGTGCTCCACCTTGCCATCACAGCTCACACACAGGGTGTAGTCACCGGGGAAGTTGGTGCTCTCTCGCACCAAAAACAGGCCTGTTTCAGGAGGGTTCAGCAACTGCTCTGCCTGTTCCCGCGTTATCTTCCCATGAAACCATCTATGAGTAGCAGAGCCAGAGAGAGAGAGACAAATAACCGTCACCAACACTAAAGTGAAATAAAATGTTGACGTGAGCATGGAAAAAAACAAACAAATGATAGAAAACTACTTAGAATGTTTCTGTTCCTTTTTTTTCTGCCTCAGCTTCAAAGCATGTAATGGTACATTCAGTTACCAGATTAAAAGTTGTACCATGCTTTAAACCAATGCAGTCTAGTAAAACAATTCTGCCATGAAACCTAATGTTCAGCTTTTGTTGAAACTGTTTTGCAGTTACAGGAGCGTAGAATAACTTTGACAAATACTTTTTTCTCATCATTTTTCCAACCCGTTTTTTGTCAGTGAGGATTAGACTGAATATCCAAAACACTGCTCAGTATGAGACGATACCATTCAAAAGCAAACTGAAGGCTCAAGATTTCACTTCAAGTTGGATCATCTCCTCTAACATATTGTTTACTCCTGAATATTTTAGATAAATTAACAGAATTACAGATTACAACTCTGCATAATGTTCAAAAGTTCCTGTGTTTATCCCTGTCGACTAGCCGGAATTTCATACTACTCTACTTATATAGTTTACTGTAGTTAATAGTCCACTCTATAGTCTACTGTAGTTTATAGTGTTTAAAGTCCACTCTACAGTCGACTGTAGTTTATAGTCCGCTCTACAGTCGACTGTAGTTTATAGTCCACTCTACAGTCTACTGTAGTTTATAGTCCGCTCTACAGTCTACTGTAGTTTATAGTCCGCTCTACAGTCTACTGTAGTTTATAGTCCACTCTACAGTCGACTGTAGTTTATAGTCCGCTCTACAGTCTACAGTAGTTTATAGTCCGCTCTACAGTCGACTGTAGTTTATAGTCCACTCTACAGTCTACTGTAGTTTATAGTCCGCTCTACAGTCTACTGTAGTTTATAGTCCACTCTACAGTCGACTGTAGTTTATAGTCCGCTCTACAGTCGACTGTAGTTTATAGTCCACTCTACAGTCTACTGTAGTTTATAGTCCGCTCTACAGTCTACTGTAGTTTATAGTCCGCTCTACAGTCTACTGTAGTTTATAGTCCACTCTACAGTCGACTGTAGTTTATAGTCCGCTCTACAGTCTACAGTAGTTTATAGTCCACTCTACAGGTGACTGTAGTTAATAGTCCACTCTACAGTCTACTGTAGTTTATAGTCCACTCTACAGTCTACTGTAGTTAATAGTCCACTCTACAGTCTACTGTAGTTAATAGTCCACTGTAGTTTATAGTCCACTCTACAGTCTACTGTAGTTTATAGTCCACTCTACAGTCTACTGTAGTTAATAGTCCACTCTACAGTCTACTGTAGTTTATAGTCCACTCTACAGGTGACTGTAGTTAATAGTCCACTCTACAGTCTACTGTAGTTTATAGTCCACTCTACAGGTGACTGTAGTTAATAGTCCACTCTACAGTCTACTGTAGTTAATAGTCCACTCTACAGGTGACTGTAGTTAATAGTCCACTCTACAGTCTACTGTAGTTTATAGTCCACTCTACAGGTGACTGTAGTTTATAGTCCACTCTACAGTCTACTGTAGTTTATAGTCCACTCTACAGGTGACTGTAGTTTATAGTCCACTCTACAGTCTACTGTAGTTTATAGTCCACTCTACAGTCTACTGTAGTTTATAGTCCACTCTACAGGTGACTGTAGTTTATAGTCCACTCTATAGTCTACTGTAGTTAATAGTCCACTCTACAGGTGACTGTAGTTAATAGTCCACTCTACAGGTGACTGTAGTTAATAGTCCACTCTAATCTAATAATACTTCAACACTGTAGTCAGAACAGGCTGGTGCTGGAAATTAAGTTTCTGTAAACTGACCGAAGAGTCTGAACGTATTTCAGAAAGCCACACCTTTAAAGTTTCATGTTACAGCCAGCAATTGAGTTGTGGATTTTTTTTAGGTTTAAACAGGACATAATGTCGCTGACTTAAAATTTTAGCATTAAATAACATGACAATCTTACTAAAGGAAGTGTTTTTTATCAGAGAGCTGTGGTTTTAGCTTCTCGTTTCTAATTAGGTCCCACTTGCTTTTCTTTACTCAGTAGTCTTTTGTTTTTCTTGTTGTAAATCCTGGATTAAATGTATTCTGTGAGCTTGTAGAGAGTAGAATTAAGGGTGTATCTACCTGTCCACATTTCCAGATGAAATGTGATTCATAAAGGGGGCAGTGTGTGCAGTTGAGCCTATGCATACAGTAGTTAAACAAAATCCTGGTGTTCTTCCTTTTTAGTGTGTGATGTGTTTGTACACTTTTTATAAAGATCATGCACTGTTTATAAATCAGTCCCTAGATCTGAATTCCTGCTGGTGACGCAAGAAATACTGTCTGGATCTATTTTGGTCTTTTGTTAATGATTATTTTCCGTTGGCCATTTACAAATGTTGATCTATCCTTGTTCAGTGTACTTCATCATGCAGTTATCATACTTAAATAAGCCCTTTACACAAAAACACAAATACCATCCTGGAGATCCAGTGAAATAGATTCAAAGTCATTTGCATCATTTCACTTTGACCAGTTTCATTTTAAGGAGGTCACAGCATACAGTAAATTCAATGACATGTGACTCTGTGAAGAAAACTAGCATTCAATATTGCACAGAAAACCATGTTGGAAAGCTATACAAAGTTTATTCCACAAAAACTGGAGAAACAGATTGTTGAAGAAGATATACTTAAAGACCTTCATTACCAAAATATAATATTTCAAACATTCCATTCAGTCTCCAATCAGAGTTTCCTATATCATCTTTAAAACCTGACTCTTACATTCAACATAAACCATAATAATGACCCAGTTCCACTATTTGTGTGTGTCATTATTACACATTATAACTGATAATAATGTTGGGTTGATAAGGCTAACGGTAACTAAAACAGAGCTCTAATGTCTTATAATTTTAGTCGCACCATGTTTAATAAGTGCTTCTATCACTAGATGTTGATCCTGATTGCTGATTGGTAGGATTGCTTTTATAAAGTCATCAGAGTTATATGATTAAGGACTTTATGAATAAACCTTTCATTCATACAAAATGTGCCCTAGCTTGCAGACGGAAGCCTGTCATGCAGAGAAAAAAAAAAGAGATTTCAGAGATTACTTAGGTCTGTCTGAAATAGAAAAGTAAAAACAGGAAACTGCAGCTTTCATGTAAAGCTTAGCTGGAAACAGACACGAGTGCTGTGCAATTTCAACACAGCCTGTCCAACTGTGGTCTCTATTCACATAACTGAAGCATCACTGCCACAACAAATAGGCCATCTGCTGTCAGCAACCACACAGCCATGAGAAGAAGGCAAAGATATGCTATTTCAGCCATCGCACAACCTTCTGAGATCGTGACATCAGATACATAAACCCTCTAATTAAATGTGGTGTAAGATTACATGAGGCATCAGAAATAATTAAAGCATAATAATCGGTGTACTCACGGCATAAGGCTCAGCTTGCCTCCAGATCTCACACCTTCCCTTTTCTGAACATAGTTGGCTGGAATTGTTCCCTCCCGACCTGCAGCATTTTTTGCTTTGTACCAGTTTGGATCCTAAAACATAGAAATATTCTAATGTCTGTTTGCAGTTTTTATAAAAACCATGAAGGTATGTTATATGTTTAAAAGAAAGCAAATAACGGACAAAAGGAAGGAAAAAAAAGGCTTCCTAACTGTATTTATTCAGAGCCGGTACAAACTTAAAAAACCAGGAATAAAAAAAAAAACAATGACAAGGAAAAATCTAAAGCAGAGATGTGTGTCTGTCAAAGGGATTAACTTGAGGAACAGTTGTGACAATGACTTAAAAAGGTGTAGTTCTCTTAGTATATTTAAAAATGTTGAAAATCGGGTAATAAACATAAAAACAAATGCAACATTGAACATTTTACCTTTGTGACAATAATAATAGTCAACACATCTCCTTTGTTGAAGGGCAGGTCCTGCTCTGATGTACCTTTAAAGTTGTACCTGGCCACACACTCTGTGCCCTGCGGCCACGGAGTCTGTGAAAGGACATGTGTTGTATTATAAATGAATACTATTATCAGACGTGTTTTCTTACATTTCTACTGTTATCACTCGTCTTACCTGGACCTCTGTCATGGTGAGGCGGTTGAATCCTGTCACAGGAGATTTTCTCTAGATGCTACCATCAGAGCTGGTACACGCCCCCACAAACGCATACAGTACCTATGAAGAAAAACAGACTGAAGTAAGTTTGACACCCCCGCTTCAGAGATATTCACTAGACCATCAATGAAGACTGAGTGAATTCACACTAGTTCATAGCAGACAACTCAGCAGAAAGATTGGAGTCAGATCCAACAGTGCCAGTAAAAAATAACTTGCTGATACAAAAAGCAGAACTAACAAGTTTTCTGTTTTTAAATAGAACTTTCACAACTGGGGCAGAATGTTTCCATGACGCAGGGAATCAGTGTTAACGTGAGACACACATTTTAAGCCTAGAACTGTACATTAAAATACAGTTTGAAATTATATTCTATCTTGTAAATAAATCATGATTAACTACTTTGTATTCTATATGTGAACCCAGTTCTTCTTGACCAAAAATTGACACAAGTTGCTTCTCCAGCTTAGCTCCACAGACAGGACCTCGTATGAATCAAGATAGCTCACTTCAACCCCGGAATGCAAACTTGTGGTGAGATCTGACCAGGCCCGAGGGACTCATCCAGCCCAGTGTTTCTCTACGTCAATAAAGCAGCCACTGTGGCACTAGCAGCAACCTTAGGCCTGAATCACCCAGAGCAGTGTTTCCATGATACATGCACAACAAATCAGAGCAGAGGCGTTTCAATGAAAAAGATGAGCTATGGATTAGGTCATGCTAAAAATTTTTTTAAAAAAAACCCAGAAACCCTTACTTACATCCTCTCATCCTGTATCAGTTCCCATAGAGGAGTGAAGTGCTCAGGGAAAACCGTGGCTCTCATACATCTGTCACTTCACATGAGGTCACATCCTCTGACATGTGCAATCGCTGTACTCTACTTCCTGTATGAGAGCGTACATTTAGAATGCTTCAATATAAGGGCGGCGGACTTCTTAGAACATGAAAGATACGACAGATCCTCTGCTGATATCACTACCGAAGCTTTTCACTGTAGAAGAACGTTTCATTGAAAATCTCGCACATCTGGAGAAATAACCTGACACTAAATGTGAGTCTACAAAACTCTCATGTGGCCCAGAGAGGACTGGACGATGAGGATGTGGTGGAGGTCGTCCCCTGTGGCGTTCTGCAGCTGGTTTTCTGTACAGAGTAACACATTTTCCCAGTGCAGACGCTCATAACAGGAAAAGAAGAGAGCGCAGCAAAGCGAGCAGATTTTTGTGGTCTTAATGACTCAAACTGAATGATACCAAAACAATTTACCGTGCTGCCAAGAATTTTTTTAGATTTTCTCCTTCGACCAGTTTTCCATCTTGTGGCCCATCAGGTGTATCCTGTGTTCAAATACAACCCCGGGGTAACAGCTGACATTACTTTAGTTTAAATCTATTAACTAATCTATTAATTGAATTTGCAAATGTATACTTCAACTTTGACTGATACCTGACTGTGGAGAGTTTTTACTTTGTAGATAACTACACTGCAATAACATCTGTGGACTGTGTAGTCTGATGACCAGCACTTTATATTTACCGCCGTCAAACTGTATATCTATTACTACATCACTTGTATGACTGTATACGGTGCGTTGTCATTCTCTGTATTAAGCCACTTAACAATAGATAAAGAATAATAGAATGGCAGAGGGTATTAGTGCTACTTAGTGAGTACTTACTGGTTTCCTTTGTAATAATTCAATTCAATTCAATTCAATTTATTTTGTATAGCGTCAACTCATAATAAGTGTTATCTCAAGACACTTTACAAAAAGCAGGTAAAATACCTTACTCTTTGTCTGTTAACATTACAAAAGAGCAGGTAAAAGACCTTACTCATTGCTAATACTTCCTTTATTTTAATTATGTCAGATATCTTAAGTACTGCTTCCTTCACTGATAGACTATAAATGTGTCTGCTAACTTATATGATAATGTATCAAACCATTTCTGAGATATTTCCATCTAATTCACAACGCCAATGTGCTGCTGGCACTAAAAGAAAAGTTCAGGGATCAACAAAGTTAATATACAGTAGTTCACACTCTGTTGACAATGAATGTATGTACAAAACGTGACACTGCCATTCCTAGTGCCACGCTGGTAATGTGGCTACAAACCCGTAAACTGTAATCCTCTAACCAAAACCTTTGTAGAAGCAGGAAGTCGTGCCCAAATCATGCAACTCTTTTGAAGGCAACAGATTATGTCTCAACATAGTGTTTGATAAAAGAGCAGAGTGACCTCATCAAGTGTGGATGAATGGACACAGGGCCATGGTCAACACACAGCAGCTCTTTTTAACTGGTGTGTTTTCGGGCAGTGAATGCATCTCAGCAGCAGGCCACCAGCAGCTGAGTGAAATGGGACAGAAGTCAGTCACTCATGGTGTCACATTGCTTTTTCCAGAAAACTCTTATGCAGAACTACAGCTTGCTCTTTTCACAAGTCAGACAAGGCTGCTATTGTGAGTCAGTGAAGTTTCTCCTGATCCCTATGTCTCACTAAGAGATCATCATCATCATCATCGGTCTGTCCAGTGAGAAGCTCTGGAGGCAACATTGCTTCATTTCGGCTCATTTGATGAGTACATTTTATTCTGACTAAGAGATGTTGTCTACAACAGGAGTAGTGATGACACGAGGTACTGAAAGTAACAGGAAACCAGCAAACTGAGTGTAAGACAAAACCGAAAAGAGAACGGATTGATTTCATATTATTCAAAGAGGTATCATATCTGATCCAACCAACCTCAAAGACATATTATAATCCAGTTTTGCATATTTTTGGTATGAACAACAGTATTGTTGTTATAACCAAACCGGTTAATCAACATTTATCTCTTCTCTTGTGTAAGTCAGTCGCCTGAACTGTAGAAATGAAGAGCAGCCTGACTGCACAAAGCAAGACAGGACAGGAATGTAGAAATATCTTCTCCAGCCTTGTTTGAATCTGCCACTCCCTCCTGCAATTCCTGCAGACAAGATCTAAGGTGACACGAGCGATTGTGCTTGCTGTTGCAAAATCTGCTGTAATAGAGTAAAGAAAGGAGGGCTTTGAAACTCTGTAACTGAAATCATTACTGGATAGAAACCATCAGCAGGTGAGGTGAAGTTTTGAAGATGAAACTGTATGTGAGCAGCCTGACAAATAGAATGACTTTAAAAGGTAAAATCAGTCACTAAGACACACAGGAAAGAAGAGTCATCTTTGACACCTTTCTTTGTCTGAGTTGTTATCACTTTCAATAGAGACATAGCTTCTCTTTCTGAATACATTTGTAAAGCATTAGGAGGTCTATCAAATATCTCCACCTCCCCCAGGAGATTGAAAACAAGAAAAAAATAAATAGAATGAAAAACATGTCCGCATTTTCTTTTTTATCTTATTGCATTCTACTTGATTTATGGTGATCATAAAACTTGCCACAGCTCACACTAAAATTCTCTTTAAACATTGTTGAATTAACCACTTGTAAAAGATCACATATAATACGAATAGATAATATACAACAGGATACGATAATACTACTACTACTAATAATAATAATACATTGGTTTTATAAAGCGCTTTTCTGAAAACTCAAAGACGCTTTTGACAAAAAACGACGAAGACGGTACAACAAAGAAGTAATGTTGGGGGGGGAGAGTTAGTGGTTGTAGGCAGTGATGAAGAGGTGAGTTTTGAGGGATTTCTTGAAGAAGGTGAGAGTAGGGGAGTCTCGGATGTTATTTGGGAGTGAGTTCCAAGGGTGGGAGCTGCAATGGAGAAGGCCCTGTCCCCCAGGACCGATAGTTTGTCCTGCGGGGGGGGGGGGGGGAAGCCAGGTTGTGAAGGGCTTTGTAGGTGAGGATGAGGAGCTTGAAGTTGATACGCTGGGGGATGGGGAGCCAGTGGAGGTCATGAAGAACGGGGGTTAATGTGGTCTCTGGTGCGGGAGTGTGTGAGGAGACGGGCAGCGGAGTTCTGCATGTATTGGAGCTTCTTGAGTACGATACACTTTGCTCTCCTCTTGAGCAAATTAGTCTAAGTGCTGAACAGATTTAGCTGCCTACACATGAATATTAATTAATTTAAAGCAAACAATAAGCAACAATCCACATGAAAAAGAAAAGCAAGTACATGTATTTGGTCACCTATCTATGTAACAGGTACATTTACTCGTAATAATTCAAATATATTTTGCTGATACGCCTGTTGTTTTTACTTAAGTATGATTCTGTATGCGAACATTGTACTTGTATTTTAAAAATGTGTGCGTGTTTGTGTTGATACTTCAACAAAGGATCTGAAAGTGTCACTGCTGTATATCCTGTAGACTGGAGCGTCACAGTGAGCATCAAGTCTGTGTTGTTTACAAGTCATCCTGCATCCTTCCACTGCATGCCTCTGTGCAGCAGGGGGTTCTGGGTAATTAACCCCTCATGCTGAACATCCTTCCTCTGGGTTCTCTGAGTATTCTTTGATGCGTCTGCCCTTTTATCGCCACATAACAGCATGCTCACTACTCCTCTGGCAAAGCCAATTGTGCAGAAATATGTCAAAGTCAAAGAGCTTCTATGTGGCAGATTTACAAACCAAAGAGAAAGATTACAGAGAGTTAAAGCTCACCCGTCTAGGTGTGACAGCCTGCAGGTGTTCTTGAGGAGCCTTTTAAGAGAAAATCCACCTCTGCCTGAAGACAAACAGCTGGACTTCGCAGCAGCACTGTTCACTGAAACCACTGTCTGCAGGAGAGCGGAAGTATGAGTGCAGTGAGCTTGCAGTACAAGTTGTCATTGTATCACTTTAACAACTGTCAGTTTTGAAAGTGAGACTCTATAACACAAGCAATTAAAGCAAATGACATCTAATATACATTTAGTATAGTCTACCAGCCATAAATAAACAAAACTTAACGCTGACAAGGAGTAACAGGGAAAGGAAATTCATTTATTTCAGCCAAGGGAAAAACCCCCCTCGATCCAAAGTTCATTGAAAACAACGACAGACTTCAAATTCATGACACTTAAGGTCGTTGATGATTTAACTAAGCAACCCCTTCTAAAATAAAAAAAAAACCCTACATGTTAAAGCTGCCATGCATAAGCAGACGATGGACACTTCCTTGTTACAATGCTCTGCATATTTGCGCAACCCTGCTCTGCTGATGCAGCCATCATGCGCCACACATTACAGGAAAGCAGCTGTGCTCGCGTTTCATGGGTTCTCTTCATCTTGTCTCACCAGCTTCAGTCCAAACTCTAAGGAAGAGGATCATATACAGTATGGACCACTCTCTCGGGCCGTGCTAGCACCATACTGGCTTCAGTGTTTTGCAGAAAGTTACCTTTGAAGGAATTTCTGGTAAAGCCGGAGGGGCATCACCCCCCCCAAAAAAGACCCCAAGTGGTCCTCACTTCCTCTCTCGAATAAAGAGGCCTTCTTGCCTTCAGCCAAATTTTGTTTTCTGTTTGAGACTTTCTTTTAGTGCAGTGGTTGCTTTTCCAGAATTGTGATATTTGTTTTACTGATAATGAAATTATGACTGAGGAAAAATGAGGCATATCATGTGAAGTTCTGCTGCATGTCAAACTTTTAGCAAATGCTTAAAGTCGGGGCTTTTTGGGGGTACTATTTAAAGTTCCCCAGGGTTCTGCGTCTCACAATACCATGATCACTATAAATGCTTTCATCAAATTTGCATGATGTATACTGCTGCAAACAAGTAGCCAGAGGAAGTGGCAGAAGTTTGAGAAGAAAAAAAAAGGGGTTATAAATAACTTCAATAGCTGATTATATTATTCATTTCCGCTTTTTATGAAATCTAACGCATGTTCCTAATAATACAAAATAAAAAAAACACAATGTGCTGCATGCATTTCAAGTAGGCCTAGCAGGTTATTGTCACATGTCAAAGACTCTAAACCCCTTCCCCTCTCAACAGAGCTGTCAGGGACTGCAGTTCAAATGTTTAGTGCGGAGGTAAGCGTTATTAAAACAAAGATAAACAACAGCAGCTTTACTGTATCCAGCTGGTCCTTTTTAAACTAACAACTCTTACCTGTTCGCAGTCAATCCCGATAGATTTAAGGCCAAAACAAGGGTGATTTGTTTACTTTCCCACGTCCGTTTTCATCTGAACGACATCACGGCAAATCCTCATTCCAGCAACAATGTCGAAGCGCAAAAAACATACAATCAAGTCCTGATGAGGAAGTGAAGTCTGCTTTGGGTGACCCGAAACTTCAGCGGTCCAAAAGTACCTCAATAAAAGCAGGCCGGGTTATTATTGGTTCGTCTCCTGTCAACATCATCTGGAAAACAGGTCTTTATAATGAAAATGGGAGATTTTGTACAGACGTAGCCTGACTGTGGTCTCGGCGGAAACTTCGGCGGAATAAAAAGTGGCTGGTTTCAGAAAAAAAAAAAACACGCGAGAACACAGCTGGATAAAGAAGTGCAGCGGCGACGTGAATGCAGTTCAGCCTATAATTAGCGTCAACTTCGGGCAGCCCCACTTTTCCCCGTCAGAAACATTCAAGTTTTTTTTTTTTTTTTTTTTTTGCCCCACCTTGATTTTACATTGCACATGCGCGTTAATGATAAACTAGTCTGGCTAAAAATGGTTCCCCTAGTCTGCTTGAGTCAAGTTGGTGAAGGAATCTGATCATCAATAATTAAATAAGTCCACAAAAAAAAAAAAAAAAAAAAAAGCTGATGGTGATTTTGTTTCTTTTATTGTTATGCTTTTTATTGTTTGTATTTGCAGATATGACACAGGAGAACGTCACACGTCTTTTTTTTATTTTTTATTTTATTTTTTAACTTCGCCCCTAAAAGGAAACAGTTGTGCTGTTCAGACTAAACCTCCAACACTGACTGAACTGTCAAATGAGATGTCTCTTGACTTCACACACTTCAATGCAGATCTTAAGAGTTTTGAACACAAAGGCCACTCTTTATCTCCATGATGCATAACCTGCTTTTAAACAACTTTACTTTACGGCCACACATACCGGACCACCACGTGGTTTGTGACTGTTCACATTTCGTAAAGAAACAACACTTCGCTCTGAGGAAATTGTGTTAGGTACATGAGAGCTGACATTACAGCAGAACAAGGAACAGTCAGCTGAAGTGTGGCCTCATGCCCCATTGGCCCCCTGGTGGTCAAAAACAACTTTTTTTTCATCACATTCAGAAATGCTGGCTGCTGTTTCCAGGCCAGACTTGTCTCAACAGCTGAGAGGCACACACATCAGGCCAGAGGAATGTTGACGAAAGGACAAAACCTGTGTTAACTTTCAAGACGTTAAAACGCTTGTGTGCGCAAAATACCACATCTTAAAGATGATGTGTATCCTTTTATACTGACCGAACGATACAAGATTAAAGGTCCCTTCATGTGCTCAATATGAACATCACATAAGGATACGTCAGCTTGACAACTGTGGCTGCTCTCATCACATTAAAATATTAAAGACAGGCAGAAGAAATGCCTATAACACCGCTGACAAGGCCTCAATAAGCACAGAAATAATCAGCACAACATGAATTCACAGTCAATGCATTAGTGTGTTCCGTTCTGGCAAGTACACAAACAGGCTTGCTGAAAGACACCACTAGATACATGACAACAAAACAGACCCTGTGTGACTGGATTAAACAGGGTGCTCAGTGTGAGAGGTGCATCTTGATCAAATCAAAATCATTCAAATTAGTTTCACATAAACCGAGCATACTCTGGAAATGCAGCTTGTTTTGTAAACAGACACGCTTGGAAAAAAAAAAAAAAAAGAATATCTGTTAACATTCAAATCAGAAGGTTCAAAACTGAATCATACACTTTGACACTTATACAAGGACCATGCACCAGTGGTTCAAGGCCATTTCCATTCAATCTAAAAAGCTATGCAGTTTTAACTTGAGTCCATCACAGACAATGCCAAGTGAGCATTCATTCAGTGCAGACTTTTGAAACCCGAGATTAAACTACAGCATAACTACACAATAAGGTTAACACTGACCAAAACTACTGCAGGCAGGATGCTTACTGTAATTCACGTAATATAAAACTGTAATAACTGGAAACCAAGAAAATATCAGAAAATAATCAGAAAACTTTGATGGGCATTACAGAGAGATCAGCAGAAACATTGATTTATAAATGAGCTGAAACTTGGTAAAACTCTGGTCGACATGGTCTTCAGTGTAACACGATAGAGCTGAAATGAAACCAGAAGAGTCCACATCAGTTCCACACGAAGACCTCATTCAAAGGCTCACTGTTTGTCCCAACTCCAATGAGAAAAGATTGTTTCTTTCTGAGCAGTTTATAGATTAGCTCGCTTCACGTTTTAAAAAAAAGAATCTTCTTCTTAATCCTAATTTTATTGATTGTTCAATATTTGTTTTTCAGCAGCCGAGCACCATTTTGAGGGAGACCTAGAACTTTAATGGATGATGAAGAAAAAAACGACATCACTTATAGTTTCTTCATGGGGAGTTCAGTTATTTATGCTCACAAAGTATGTTCTGTGTTAATGGAAGGATTCTGTTGCTGGAAAACTTCAGAAACATGCTTCAGGTTTCAGAGAGACGACTGAAAAAGTGGCTGAATTTAACATGACCTTGCTTTGCAGAAATGAGTGGACAAGAGGCAAGGCATGACATTATGTCATGACATCAGCTCTATGTTTTATAACATTTTGGTTTCAAACCTTTTAATCCACTGAAAGGCAAAATGTCTAATTGATTGACGTGATGTGTCATCTTATCAGAGCCGTTATCACAGCCGTATTCTTCATGGAAGAACATCATTGATATATAGATGTTCCCTCAGTAGCTGCCCATGTCAACACTGGCTCAGTTTGAAAACACAGCAACTCTCATGTGTATGATAAATTCTTTCTAGCCTATAAAAACATTAGATAACAATAAGTGAGTTCCGCAGAATATGGCAGGCTCAAAGCCTTTAGCAATGCTTACAGCAATGTCAGCTGGATTGGTGTGATATTGCATTGTCATGTGACAAGTGACATTCAGAAATTTACATTATGGGTCAAAAATTGCCCTATTCAATTTAAATCTAATCCTTATGTTAATCTTTTTTTTAAGATTTAAGTTGTATATAAGAAACATGTTCTCAAATATCTTGTAATATTATTTACTGAATGACAATGTCAACATAATGGTATGTGCTTAACTGCTGAAGACTCTGATGGTCAATAAAGCAACATGTACTTAGTCCTCTTAGGACTAATGTACCAAACAATGATCCTTCAGTACAAGGGGAAAAGTCCCGTTCACATGTTAAAGGGTCAGAAACTTAATGGATGAACTGAAGCTTAAGCTCAAGCTCTGGGATATACAATAAGGCGCCAAAACCAACATGGTAATGGAGGGTGAGAGATTCAATCTGTCGTGTTGACTATTAGTCACACTGGGCAGAGTGCAAAGGGATGACAAATTTGCAGCCAAAAGGAGAAATATACTTAATTCCCACTTCCTGGAACACCTGTCGAGGGATACCAATGTCACACAGGTAAATACTGCCAGCCCCTTCAGCCAGGGGAAGGGGGAGACATAGAGAGAGGGACCATTTGGCCTCCACTGTCTGCCCCTGTCCACTACAAGGAGGGTCTAAGTTAAGCACTGGTGCTCGATTCTGGTTTGCCCAGTCAGCCGCTGCTCGGTACCAAGGCTGATCCATCAGGAATGTGTTCTCATGGCAGTCCAGGCAGTTAATGATGAGGTCCACTGGGGTGTCTGGAAGGTCTGGGAAATCAGAGAGAAATACAAAATCTCAACATATATTGCTTGGACCACCTCTAATGCAAAATGTAAAAATTAAAAGGTAGAAAAATATGCCTACCTTTGATACTCGACACCTGTTTGCCGCCAGTTTTGTTAAAGAGTGTTAGCTCACTGGTCACTGATTCAAGCATCTTGACAAAATTTGGGAGAAACAGGATAACTTCCACTTCATGATTGGCCAGGTGACGACCACAGCTGATGCCCTGAGCTCCCTGAACATGAGGGCCACACAGGAGAGCCACTGTGGGACGCTGGTGTAAGTTTTTTGGAGTGAATCTGAGAAAAGGCAAAAAAAAAAAAAAAAAAAGTTAATTTCCTAAATGTTCTGCTCTTCCAGCAATTGTTTTCCATTAACCTGTTACAAGTTATTAACTTGGCATACAGCAACAATGTACATTTTTTAAACCAAATGTTTCTGTTGAAGAAAAATAAACAAGGCATTGTTCTAAGAACCAAACACAAGATATAACTATGTTATGAAGAAAACCATCTTTTTTTAAACCATTTTAATAAGTGGATGTAATTTCATTCCTTTTCTTTTCAGAAAACTTCATCATGACCCACTCATTTCCATTTAATATGTAATAATTTACCTTTTCAACAACACTTAACCAGTGTAAGCATGCAACTAATGACTATGAAAAAAACAACATCACCCTTCTGAAAAAAAAAAAAAAAAAAAACGGTATTCGTTTTATATGCATTCCCTTTTATTGGTTATCAGACTATAATATCTATCAAAAATAATTGCTACCGCCTTACCTATTGGGCCCACCCAGCAATGTAAGTGCCATCTGACTTGCACAAACTCCAGTCATCTCAAGTCTTCGCTCCAGTGAGAGACCAAGGCGCTCAGCAACTGACAACAGTCTCTTGTGTAATTCATAGGTTATGCTGGGTACAACAAGCCCAGAGTCTGTGTGGAAGAAAAGGAAACACATATGTTATCGTCTATTTCAGATTATCTGAACACCCTACTGTTTTTGTCATTACAGCTACTCTTACCAGTGCAGTACTCCTTAGCCCCAGGCTGAGGTACGGTGATCTGTCTGTACACAATAGGTTTGGCTTCCAGAATGTTTTCATCATGACGATACCTTGAGGGCGTCTGCTCTTGAGGTGTCCCACGTGACCTTGCACCATTACGGCGCTCTGTTGTGTCTATTTCTGAGAAAACTGCTGCTTTGTCAAAAAGAGCCAAGTTTCCTTCAAAGTCAAAGTCTGTATCCAGCCCGTCATCCATGCCATCCCCGAAACACTCATCGTCTCTGTATTTCATTTGACCATTCTTCACCCCGTTCTTTTTTGGGGTCACTTGGTTTGCCCCTTTACTACTAGACGACCCTGTTCAGGAAAATAAACAACATCAACACTTTGGCAATGACCTAAATATTTTTTTTTTATCTGACTGAGGTTCTACATCACACTTACAGGAGTTGTGTCTTCGACGGAATGCCTTCGGCTGGCCTGGAACATCCAGATGACGTTCTCCATAGCTTTTTGAGCAGTGCTGAGGAGAGTTAAGTTTCTCCACAGACCGAGGGTCAACTTTTGGGACTGCAACTGGGGCACTGCTTACTTTAGTAGACACAGAAGAGCTGTTCCTACCATTGCCATTTCTGATCTCTAAAATCTTGAGTTCCTTTATATCAATGGCACTGCAGGAGAAAAAAAAATGGTGAAACATGGTATATATTAAGTGAAACTAAGTTTTCAGTCAATAAGTCAGACTCTCAGCTGTGAACTTTGCTTTTTTAAATTTGCCATGCACCTTAACTGCCTCTGCTTTATCTGGTCTCATGCACTACATCACTTTATTCTATCCTTTCTATTTCAGTAATCATCCAGTATTCCTGTTGTTTCTTATCCATCATTGCACTACGGTCACTTTATTTATCTCATTTTTACCTTTACAGTTATATTCTTTATATTGGAATGAAATTTGAATGGAATAGAATAGAATAGAATAGAATGGAATGGAATTGGAATGGAATAGAATGGAATAGAATGGAATAGAATAGAATGAAATTGGAATTGGAATTGGAATTGAATAGAATAGAATGAAATTGGAATTGGAATTGGAATGGAATGGAATGGAATAGAATAGAATAGAATAGAATGGAATTGGAATTGGAATGGAATAGAATAGAATAGAATAGAATAGAATAGAATAGAATAGAATAGAATAGAATAGAATAGAATAGAATAGAATGAAATTGGAATGGAATGGAATAGAATGAAATTGGAATTGGAATGGAATAGAATAGAATGAAATTGGAATTGGAATAGAATAGAATAGAATAGAATAGAATAGAATAGAATAGAATAGAATAGAATGAAATTGGAATTGGAATTGGAATGGAATGGAATTGGAATTGGAATGGAATGGAATGGAATGGAATGGAATGGAATAGAATAGAATAGAATAGAATAGAATAGAATGGAATTGGAATGGAATGGAATGGAATGGAATGGAATGGAATTGGAATGGAATAGAATAGAATAGAATAGAATAGAATAGAATAGAATAGAATAGAATGAAATTGGAATGGAATGGAATAGAATGAAATTGGAATTGGAATGGAATAGAATAGAATAGAATAGAATAGAATAGAATGAAATTGGAATTGGAATAGAATAGAATAGAATAGAATAGAATAGAATAGAATAGAATAGAATAGAATGAAATTGGAATTGGAATTGGAATTGGAATGGAATGGAATGGAATGGAATGGAATTGGAATGGAATGGAATGGAATGGAATGGAATGGAATAGAATAGAATGAAATTGGAATTGGAATGGAATAGAATAGAATAGAATAGAATAGAATAGAATAGAATAGAATGAAATTGGAATTGGAATTGGAATTGGAATGGAATAGAATAGAATAGAATAGAATAGAATAGAATAGAATAGAATAGAATAGAATAGAATAGAATAGAATGAAATTGGAATGGAATAGAATAGAATAGAATAGAATAGAATAGAATAGAATAGAATAGAATAGAATGGAATGGAATAGAATGGAATAGAATAGAATAAGCCAAAACTGACAAACCAGCCGAGGAGCAACTCATAATTGGAAATTACCTGAATGTCACCTCGGGAACAGGACACTTGACTCCATTATGGAAGGGTTGTCTTAAGGAGATGGTCTGGCTGGACTGGTCCACGGATACAACCTCTCCCTGATAGACTCCCAGTGTTGGCCCACAGTTGATTGACACCAAACTACCCAACCAATCAGCAGCCATGACTGCAAAACATAAATAATACATAAATAATAATAAAAACACACACACAATAAGGTAACAAATCAGACGAACTTCACAGTAACTACAACCTTTGTTTTTTGTAAATTCATAAAATCACTTTCTGAATGTAAATATATTTCTCGATGTTAGTAAATAGTTATTCTAGCTGACGACGTTAGCGTGAGATGAAGCTAGCGAGGTTACCATCTAAGCTACATTTAATTTTAAAGAAGCAAACGCAACATTTGAACACCACCTAGTTTAGTACCTTTTTGTAATCACTGCGAATGACAACACTTTCAATACCTCGAGTGAATGAAGTGTGAAGTTAAACGCTGACAGGAGAAAACGTGACTGTCATGAACAGTTAGCTTTTAGCTTCTTTTAATGTTCAAAAGCTGCTGCTGCGAGCTTCTTCAGGATGACCACTTCCGGCTTCCGCTATAACTTACAAAATAAGAGCTTAGAAGCTAAGATGAACATAAATGAAGCAGAGCGAATTCTGGCATGCTGCTATATATGCAATTAAAACGAAACAGGCTATCACAATGCAGATTTTTATATATTTTTACATGATTTTAAGCACTGTAGAAAACGGAAAGCCCATTACAGTGTAAACATTAAAGCTCCTGTGTGAGGAGTGTAGCTGGTTATGAAACACACTAAAATTAACATCAATGCCTCTTCATGACATGGAAAAGCAAAAGAGAACATGAGTGAGAAGACTGGCTATTTCTTGATAGTTATTTTGTAAAGGACAAGATCAGCAAAACTCTTAAAGGCACTTTGTCCACAGGGTTCGCCATTGATATTGCAATATGAGATGCGATTCAACTTTATTGTCATTACACATATACAAGAATAGAGTAATGAAATGAGGTTAGGCATCTCACCAGAAGTGCAATAAGCAGAAAGTGCAAAAATATGTGCTATGTACAAATAATTACAAAATGTACAGATGTAGACTAAAAAAAGTGAATTATTGGGTATATATGGATGGCTGGATTAATGGGACACTAGAAATATAAATAAATGCTATAAATATAAATATATTTTTAGGATTATAATATACAGATTAAGGTGCAGTGAGCATGCTATACTAGATTACAGATAATATACAGAATATGGACATATTGTACAGGTCGATAATTTATTGAGGTGATATTAACATACTATAATACAATAAATAAATTAAATTAAATATTGTTTGAAAGATTGAGATAAATGATGTTTATATACCATGACTGGCATAGGCTAAGAAATAACTTTGTATTTAGTCAGTAGCATGCAGTATTTCACACAGAGTTGATGAATATTAGCAAGCTGACATAGCCATGTTGTTATCTGACAATTCATCACATGGTTTCTTATACCTGGAGCAATAACCAATTCCTCATAAACCGCCTATCGAATAACATAAATGCTAATTATATTTATCTATAAGTGCCTAAAAGCAATAATAAGCAATACGCTTATAATAATAATTAATTATAAATCAGAGGCTTACTCAGTTTATTATCACTGTTTAGGAAATGTTCTGAACAACTCATGTCAACCAACAGCCAGTACACATATCTAGTGAGATCATGTGGAGACTATCCCATCAAGTGTGAGCATATGACACACCCACCCCCTGTGTACGTGGGTTACCATGGATACCCAGTTCAAGGGCTGTACACTGAAAAGCTTGTAATCAAAGCTGTGTGAAGCTTACAAGAAGATTAAGTGGGCATTGTCAGTGGACAGGAGAGGGTCTCTACAGCAAGGTACTGTAAGATGTAGGCCTATGTGAAATGTTTGGCAGACTCCAGCTATGTAGCCTCATTTTTATACATTTGATGAGAAATGTTTGTATTGAAATATGGAGAATGGTGTGATTAACTAATTTATAATAAGAATAAATGATGCTGTTTGTTCTCAAACACCCTCTGATCAAGTGGTGTTAAAATTAGTTGTTTATCATCAAGTAAGCAATGGGAATATATTACGCATGTACCAAGAATAGACACACACGCCAGCAGCCACCTTTGTGTGAAAATCTGCTCCTGTCCCTGGAGCAGTGGAGGAGATGAGGATTGAAAACTCACCCATACAAAGAGGAGACATAGCTAAGATCAAGGCGGACAGTCATAATGTTCGGGTCCTCATACAGGAGCTCGAGTCCCTTTTCCCTCACGGATCTCGACATGTGGGACAACAGATCTCACTTTACAGCCCAGGTAAAACTCAGTTATAACTTTTTTTCCTGGAATAGAGCAGTTTGATCGGAAGTTAATTTAAAAGTTTGTGTTTTTCTTTCATAGACCTCCACATGGTGTGGAATGGCAGCTGTCTCCGGGACTGGGTGTCTGTCCAAAGTCAGCACAAGGTAAGAGAGACATTTATAAGTGGCCGAGACTCAATCATTTCCATTTCCAAGTAAAGGATGTTTAAACTCTGCCTGACTGTAGCACATGTGGGAGCACTGGTGGCTTCAGACAGAATGACCCAGGTCTAAGGAAGTGGCAGTCATTGTCCCATCTGGAGGCCGCACCACGACCCTTTCCTCCGTCTCCAGGAGCTGAAATGAGGGCTGCCAGAGGAGAATGTAGCTTAAGACAGGCAGAAGCAGGGCGATGGATGCAGGATGTCCACGAGCGTCTGGACACCCAGCTGAGGAACAGAAAATCACAGCTAAGCTACAACAAAACTACCACACAACTCCTTGACATGAAACACAAGGTACATTTCAATTGTATGTTCTCCATTTATGCGTCTTTATAGATTTTTGGTATGGTGTTTGGTATGGGTGTCATTTGCACACAATTTCCTACTATCTTTCACTGATGTGTTAAACAGCAGCTCTCAGAAGCAATGACCGCTTTCAACCTGGAGAAGGAGGCAGCTGAATGTTCCCGAAGAGGAGAGCTTCATGAAAAGTAAGTCCAGTCCAAAACATGGGAAGGGGAAAATTTGAATGACTTGAGACAAGACTGAAATTCCTCCTCCTGTTAAATTCACTCTCAAGGGTCCTACAGCTGGAGAAGGAGCTGTTTCAAATGAGGTCTAGTTTGGGCAGAGGAAACACTGATCATCCAAATCCTGTCTCACTAAGTAAGACTTCACCATCGCGTGAAGAAGACTTGAGAAGACAGGTGTGTATGCTTTGAATATATTTGTGATCCATACAATGTATTTTATATGTGTACGTGTTGGTCAACAAATGATTGAACACATGGATTTCAGGAGAGTCACAAGGTTGACACAGAGCTGCACACGCTGAGGGAGGCTCTGAGAGAAGCAGAGGCGAGAGCGAAGACACAAGAGGAAGAAAGAAACCAGGCCCTTCAGAAACTCCACACTTCCACAGAGGTCAGTAACAACATATGGAGGGAAATCCCTACATTTTCTGTTGATACTTTTTTTTTTTTTTACAAGATGCCAAAGTTACACTGTCTGCTGTTATAAGGTTATCTTTTTATTGTTGTCAATTTTATTTCCATTGTATGTAGACGCAGAGGACGCTGCTGAATCAAATTGAGGAGATGAGGCTCAGCCACACGAGACAGAATCACTCTGAAATTCAGGAACAGCTGAGTGAAGCTAACAATAAGATCAGCCAAGCATGCCTGGTCAGTTTTTTGTATGATTCAGTTTAACCTTTCCTCTTACAAAATTTAATTATGGGAATTATAGCTTAAGATTGTGTTTCTTCTCAGGAAAAAGCTATCTTGACAACTCAAGTGATAAAGCTGGAGGATAATATAAAAGACCTGAAGAGCAAATTGGTAAAGGATCTGTGTGACAAAATGATTCAGGAAGCAAATATACAATCTTTAACTACAATGATGGATGTTAATACATTTATTTTATTTTTTTGTCCCATATATTTGGTATAGGAAAAAGCAGGTCTCCAGCAGAGGAACCAGGTCCTGGAGCTGCAGCTGAAAAGATCCCAACAGGGTTCAGATGGATGTGAGGACACTGAGTCGAAAAACAACAAACAGGATCAGAAAACAGTTGTGATGAGGGAAGAATCAAAGGCACTCAAAGAGGTGGAAAACTTTGCCTAATAATTAAGTTTACATTTTTGGTAGGTCTTTATTAAATGATCTCTGTTGTGTTTCCACCAGGTGAATGAAAAGCTGATTCATGAGCTTGAAATGACCAAGCAGAAACTGACAACATCACAGTGTCAGCTGCAGGAGATAACAGCAGAGAGAGACATGTTCTCCAGACAAACTGCAGAGATGAAGGAAGAACACTCTCAGCATATCAAAGACAAAGACCAGCTGATCAGTAAACTGAACCAAGGTGGACATGAGGAGCTAACTGAAATGAAAGAAAAGTGTGGCCAGCTCAGGTGAGAGTGTTACAAATCATACTTCAGTATAAACTTTGCAATTTCCCTGGCTTTACGGAAACATTCAAACAATTTTTCCAGGAAATCTGTGGACGTTTTGGAATCGGAGAAACTGAAATTGCAGGATCAGTGTCTGCGTTTAAAGGCGGAGGTTCATGAGGAAGAGGAGAAGCTACACCTGCAGGAGGAAGAGTTTCAGAAACAAGATGCAGCGAGAGTTCAGACCATGCAGGAGCTGCAAGCTGTGGCCTCACATTGGACTGAGAAATGGCAGAAGGCTGCTTTGACACTGCAGGCCACACAGGGAGAGCTCGAGGAACTCAAAAAGAACAACTTCAGAAATGGGGTAAGCCTTACAACTCCCTTATAAATACTTTATTTTATGACCTAGCATTGCATTTAGATGCTTCTTATATTCTAATTAAACAAGGTGTTCAAGCAGAAGCTGTGCCTGTTGCCAGTGAGATTCAAAACAACAATAAAAGACGACTAGAGAGACAAGCCTTGTGTCCACAAAGATGATCTTATTGTTGAATATGTAGTACGTGTCTGAACGAGTCATTTCACCCTGTGTTTTTGGAAAAGGAATTTTATTGGTGAAAATAAAGGTACATCACTTATTTTCTTTATTCACATTTTTCAGAAGTATTAATGGGACAAAACACAGCAAAACAAAAGGGTAAACAAAAAGAGAAGAGCCATGCACTATAGAAAATAAAAATTAAATGCAAGTCTATATAAATTGTTATTAAAATTATTATAAATGAAATTACAGCACATATATAACACAAGTAACACCCTGTTATGCACCCTTTATCTGTGGCAAATCAGTCCTCAAATTGTACAATAGAACAGTGAATGATTAATTTACATCCAGATTGAAGAACAAAGTTGAGTATCAGCCTTGACTTTCCACTTTATGCTATTTAATAGAGGGAATCTGAGTTATTGCTGAGGCTTGAGCTTGGCGCGTGCAGACAAGAGCTGGAGTTGGAAAGAAGCAGGAATCAGCTGCTGGCTCACGTACATAAAGGTAATGACACATATATTTCCTATAAGTTAACTGATATGGG